TCCACCCCAACCGAAACCCCCGAAGACCCAAATTTCGGATTTCGGAATGGGGGGGTTACGGGCTCCACATATAGTTTTCAATGTTCCCCGACGCCCCACTCCCCACTGGGAATGGAGGGCAAACTGGGGCCTTCGGGTTGGGTTAGGGTGGTGTGGTTCGGTGGGTGGTGGAGCTGCCAGGGCCCCTCCCCCGCCCCGGCTTCTTTTGTGCACGCCCCCGCCTCCCGCCCTAGTCCGCTCACGGAGCGCACCGAGGCAGCCTCGCAGGGAGCAGCCAGGCCGAGCGGAGCCCCCCGGCCGAGAGGCCCGTGCCACCCCTGGCGGGCGGCACGGCAGCTGGGCGGGCGCGGGGGTCACGCGGGCTCCGCGGTGAACATGCCCCGCACGCGGGTCCACGCCTGGCTCCTTCCGTGCTCGGCGGCGAGCACGGGGGGGAAGCGAGAGGGGGCGGGGCTTCTCAGCAGGCTCGGAAAAAACTTCGAGGGCTTCTGAGAAGCCCCGCTGCCTTCTGAGAGGGCCTCCTCCTTCTCACATCCCCCCTCGCTCGCCGACGATTCCGGGCGGGAGGAGGGGAGGAGGGGAGAGGGGCGGGCGGAGGGGAGGCGGGACAAGGACGAGGGACGGGCGCGAGGGAGGAGACGGAGAGGCTGGAGACCGGAGGCTGCGCTTGTGCCGGCCCCTGGGGGCCGACCCTGCACGGGGCGAAGTGGTGGCGCCGAGGCGCCGGCACTCAGTCGAAAAGTGGAGAGCAGAGCCTGCCCCGTCCAGTCAATACCCCGTGGCTGCGTCGGTGCGTGCTGTCCTGTGCGGGGCACGTGCGAATCTTGCCAGCGAGTTTGCCCACCATAACTCTAGATTCCACCACAAGTGATCCCCACTCGTTTGCGCCAGCATTGCGAATCAATGCTGCACGATCGTCGGTCCACCAAGCCTCACACTGATATGCATAGATAGCCAGCCCCACATTACAAACATCTTTACGACTACACATGTCTGTGCCGTCGCGAACCGCCGTAGCAACAGGCCTCCACTGCATCCGTCGCTGCCGTTCTCACCCATGTTCGCATGCACGTTAAGCACAACATATTTCAGCATGCTGAGTCGCGCGCCGGATCCTCTCAAGACGCTTCCAGCCGAGCTCGAGCCCAATGCCGTGGTGCTGATGGTGTTTGCGTCGTCTGAGTCGGTGTCGTTAATTACTCCCAGCAGAGCCGCCTGTGGGTGTCGCGTCGCTGCTACTACTGCTGCCGGAGGCGTCGACCGACGCCACAATTGCGCCATCGGGCCATCGTGGCAGCAATCTGCACAGGGGTCTTCGCTGGTGTCCGGGGCCCAACGTCGTGGAGATCCGAGAGTCAACCTGAGCATGTGGCGCTGCGTGGATCGCAGCCGGGACTCCAGCGGAGCTGTGACTGTCAGGAGACGGAGGCGGAGAGAGCAGGGAAGGCATGGAGCGGAGTCAGGAGACGGAGACTGTCAGCCAGCTCCAGGGGGAGGCGGAGAGCGAGGAAGAGGGCGGGGAGGAGGGACGGAGAGGGGCATGGAGGCAGCGAGGGAGGAAGGGAAAGAAGGGGTGAAGGATGTATGGATTATGACAAAGTGCCTCCTCCTCCTCCTCCTCCTCCTCCCCCTCCCCCTCCTCCTCCTCCTCCTCCTCCTCCTCCTCCTCCTCCTCCTCCTCCTCCTCCCCGAAGGATCCTCAAGGCCTCCAGCCGACGCTCCCACTCCGCCCGCTCGGCGCGGAAACTCTGCACCTCCTTGTACATCGCCTCGTACTCCGTACGCAGCCGGGTAATGTCCCTCAGGACCAGCTCGCGCGAGGGCGCCGGCACGGGCTCCCTGTGCAGGTAGAACTGCATCATCTTCGCGCGCCACTCCCTCGTGCGGGGTTCCCAAAGAGTTTTGCGTCAGGGCCGCCTCCCCGCGCCGGCACTCCCCCCTCCTCCAGGAGGGGTGGGTGGCGGTGGTGAGCATGCACGTGTGCACTTGCATGAGTGTATACACGCGTACTCCAAGTCTCACCAGCCCTTTAGGGAGTAGGTGGTCTAGGGAGTTTCCTCTTCCAAACCCCTTCTTCCCCTTCGGGGAGTGGTGTCATCACTGTTCCCTATTAGTATACACCCCCTCCCCCAAGCGACCAGCAACCAACCAGGAACAATGGTAACCCCATGAGGGCCTCCCCACCACCATCTCTTTCAAATAACACTACAAAGCACTTTGGGGCAGACACCAGAGTCATGCTCGTGAGGCCCACGAGCACTTTGTTCTGTTTTTGTGAAGGACGGCGGGGGTGCCTGCCGAGGGTCCAAAGTCCCGAGTCCCTGGCGCTCTTTTGGGCACGCCTGGGCGCTCTTGGCACGCTCGGGTCTTTCCTCTCGACCCTTTCGGGGCCACCAGAGGCCTCACAGCTGACGAAGAGCGCTCCAAGAGGCACTCAAGACGAGCGCCCCGAGCCGCCGAAAAATCACCCCAGGAAGCCCATGATGACTTCCAAACGGCCCAAGAGACCCTCAAAATTCTCCAAGGGGACCCCAAGAGCCCCCCCAAGATGGCCCCTGGTTGCAAAAATAGCTGATTACTCAGAAAAGTCTTCAAGGGAGGTTGGCCTTCTCATGTGTTCGAACTTCCATCCAAGACGGCCCAAGAGGCTCTCAAGATCACCCGAATACAATTCAGGAGGGCCCAAGAAAGGCCCAAGACGGCCCAAGAGGGCATCAAGATGGCATCAAGAGGGCAAACGAGGCGCCCGAAATGGCACCAGAAGGCTCCAAGAGAGACCCCGGAGCGGGAACACAACTTTCTAAGTCGAGCGAGCCTTCCACGCAAGAATCCCTCAAGAAGCCCCAACTGGCTGCGAAAACAAACTTACGCCCTTAGAGACCCTGAAGCCCCCAAGAGGCCCCAAGAGGCCCCCGAGAGGCTCCCAAAAGGCGTCCAACAGACGATCGGATGTCTCCCCGTGCTAGGGGTATAAAGAACGCCTCCGGCCAACTGGCGCTCAACGTCCCATGCGTCACTTTCGGTGGCGTTGTTAATTAGTCTCGCTAACGGAACCTCAACAATTACACAACAACTTTGCCGGCACATACAGGGCTCCCAAATCACTTTGCCAGCACATGCAGCGAACTCCAACAAGTCTACCAACACGTATTTCACTAGCAATGGGAATCCCCAAAACTTCGCCGAATAAAATGAATTTCCAACAACGTTCTCGACAACTTCTCCATCAGCACCGAATTCCCGGCAACGTTTCCAGCACTTTACTTACCAACTGAATTCCAAGAAAAAGGCTCACATCCAATCATAACACAAACAGATAAGATAGGCACACGTATGTGCATGTGCATGTGCATAAGTACGCATGGCATGTAACGCAATCATGCCGATGCTCATTCAAGCACGCATGTACGTACCACTGTTGGAGGTCGGACCTCTGCGCCAAACTCCGCCTTCGCAGCCGCAGCAGCGCACGGACCGCCACCTTCAGGCGGTGACTGCGCACCTTGAGCTCCAGCGCCTGCAGGCGCCCCCGCGAGCCGCGCCAGCAGCGCTGTATCCTCAACATGTTCTGCTGCAGGTTGCGCCAGCGCCGCCGCTTCTGCAGCGAGCGCCACCAGCGCTGCAGCTGGGTCAGGCGGGCCCTGTCGGCCAGGTACCGCTTGCGACACCAGCGCATGCGTCCCCAGGCCTGGGACACCAACGCCGCCCGACGTGCCGTGTGGAACCGCTGCCGTGCTCGCAGCGTCCGGGCGGCGGCCGCCAGCAATGTCGCGGCCGCCTCGCGCTTCTCGCGCCACATCTCGCCTCGGACCACGGCCCCGCGCCAGCAGGCCTGCAGCCGCCGCAGCGCCCACGAGAAGCGCGCATACCTCCTCGACGCGGCGCGGCGGCGCGCCGCAGCCTGCAGCCGCGTCGCCGCGGCGTGCCGAGCTCGGCCCAGAGCGACGCGGAGAGCGTTGGAGGGCTCCTGCTTCAGGAAGACGCGCGTCCTGCCGAGGGCCCACCCCCGCCTGGCGGGCTCGGCCCCGGAGCTCAGGGCCGCCTGCATCTCGCCCGACTCCAGCATCTGCTGGACGGCGGCCGCCGTGAACTCCCCGGCGGCCTGCGCCTCTGGGGGGGAGGAGGGAGGAGGAGGACGAGGAGGAAGAGGAGTGCGGAGGAGGAGGAGGAGGAGGAGGAGGAAGAGGAGGAGGAGGAGGAGGAGGAGGAGGAGGGAAGCGTCGCGGCCGATGCCGCGACGTTCCCCGGGCCTCGCGCGGGGAACGCTCCGACGAGGATTCCGAGGCGGATCCAGCAGCCGTGGCGACGAGGGCCCGCCAGGGGGAGGCCCCGGGGCCCCCGACCAGCAGGCGAACGAGCACGCCGCAAAGGCATCTCGGAGGCTTCCTCCCCGGAGCCTCCGCCTCCAGGTGGGCGCGCAGCTTCGGGCAGACCTGGGGAGACCAATGACTACCTACCAGACCACCCCAGTCCAAACCGAAGACCTGAATTTCGGATTGGTGGGGGGGGTGCAAGCTTCAGATGTGTTTTGTCAATGCTCCCCGCCCCCCCCCCCCACCGGAGATGGAGGGCAAATCGGGGCCTTCGGGTTGGGTTGGGGTGGTTTGCTGAGCGGGGAACCACAAGATATCGATACCGCTACTCCCTGCACCTCTCCCGGGATGCGTTCTGACAAGCATCTCGGGGCGAATCCAGCCGTGGCGACGAGGGTCTCCCAGGAGGCCCAAGAAAGGGGAGAACCGGGGCCGACCAGGCAGCCGAACTCCACGTAGAAGTCCCCGTGCGCGAAGCGCACGGGGTAGCCTGCGCGGGCCACGCGGACCGCCTCCAGGACGCCCTGGTAGCTCAGCTGCTCCGCGACCTGGGCGCGGCTGAAGAGCGGCCGTGGCGCCTCGCCGGCCCGCGCCTCCTCGCGGGGGGGAGGCGCGCAAGACTCGAGCGCCAGGAGGACCCGAGCTGGCCCGACGGGGCCGCGAGGAAAACGGCGAGACCAGGTCTGAAATTGGGCGCGAAGAGAAGGCCACATGCGAACCCTGCCCCACCACCCCACGATTTGTAGGCGGGAAGGTGGGGTTCACTTCGCGCTAGAAAGCGCTGGCAGACCCGGGCCCAGCGCAGATCCGAGAAATCTGCGCGGACCTCCGAGAATTTGCGCGGATGCCGATGTTTGGCACTCGAGAACTCGAGTCTCACGCTTCCCCGAGCCTCGAACGGCCGGTTCTTCGGGTTGGGCTTGATGCACCGCACGAAGTGCGGCACCGTCTGGTGAATCTGCCCCAGCAGCTCGTGCAGCTGCTCCCGGAACTCAGACGACACGGTGTACCTCTTGGCGCGGAGCACCCTCTCGCCTCAGGGGCAACGTTATGGGGGGGTCAAAGGTGGGAAACGTCGAAAACACTCTGGGATTTGTTGGACGGTTTCGGCCTCTCGGGGCCTTCGCTGGGCCCCTGGACCGTTCAACAAATACCCAGGACGAAAGACTGGCCGTGGGAAGTGGGTCTGAAACTCTGGGGGCTCACGTTTTTGTTATATATATATATAATTTTAATATATATAGATATATATATATATATATAACACAACAACAACCAAAACAAAACAAAAAAACGAAATCGACGGTCTCGGGTAGGTGGCTGGCTCGGGGGGAGGAAACGTCGACCCGGAATCGGCGACCCAGACGTGCTCGCGTCGCGCTCGTTTGTTATATTGCTATATGTTCCTGCGCTTTTGCATCTTATGCAAAACAACAAGAAGCCGGCGGGAGCCTTCGGGGGCGGTCGCCGTGCCGCAGGACCGATAAATTACCCTGGCGAAGTACCCAACCCTTGCGCAATGCGGGGCATAAGTGCATCAGGGTTACTACAACGGGGGCGATGACGCAACATCGACGCATGTGATTTTGAGATCAGCAATCGGAAGGTTCGCGGGCTACGTAATAACAAATCATCCCCGTTGGCTGCGCCATGCGCCCGTTGCACCCAACGTATCCCACAGCAGCTCTTGAGAGCCCCCGCGGGATACGTGTAGGTGCAACGTCATGGCCCATCGCCCGGCTGATGGTCTGTTTAACACATCATCACCCCCGTTGGCTGTGCCATGCGCCCGTTGCGCCTAACGCATCCCACAGGAGCTCTCCAGAGCCCCCCCCAGGGACGGCGAGGTCTCGCTAAGGTCCCCGCGGTGCCTCACTCCGCTGGACCCACCAGCAGCCCTCGAAAGTGGCGACAATGTCGCAGATCGCAGCCCCCCCAGGGACGGCGAGGTCTCGCTCAGGTCCCCGCGGTGCCTCACTCCGCTGGACCCACCAGCAGCCCTCGAAAGTGGCGACAGTGTCGCAGATCGCAGCGCCGCCCACCCAGGGACGGCGAGGTCTCGCTCAGGTCCCCTCGGTGCCTCACTCCGCTGGGCCCACCAGCAGTCCTCGAAAGTGGCGACAATGTCGCAGATCGCAGCCCCCCCAGGGACGGCGAGGTCTCGCTCAGGTCCCCGCGGTGCCTTGCCTCACTCCGCTGAACCCACCAGCAGCCCTCGACCCTCGAAAGTGGCGACAATGTCGCAGATCGCAGCCCCCCCCCCCCCCCCGGGACGGCGAGGTCTCGCTAAAGTCTCCGCGGTGCCTCACTCCGCTGGACCCTGCAGCAGCCCTCAAAAGTGGCGACAGTGTCGCACATTGTCGCACATTGCGGCCCCCCCCAGGGACGGCGAGGTCTCGCTCAGGTCCCCGCGGTGCCTCACTCCGCAGGACCCACCAGAAACCCTCGAAAGTGGCGACAGTGTCGCAGATCGCAGGCCCCGGTGCCTCAGGGACCCACCAGCAGCCCTCGAAAGTGGCGACAATGTCGCAGATCGCAGCCCCCCCCCCAGGGACGGCGAGGTCTCGCTCAGGTCCCTGCGGTGCCTCACTCCGCTGAACCCACGAGCAGCCCTCGAAAATGGCGACAATGTCGCAGATCGCAGCCCTTCCCAGGGCCGGCGAGGTCTCGCTCAAGTCCCCTGCGGTGCCTCACTCCGCTGGACCCACGAGCAGCCCTCAAAAGTGGCGACAATGTCGCAGATCGCAGCCCTTCCCAGGGGCGGCGAGGTCTCGCTCAGGTCCCCGCGGTGCCTCACTCCGCTGGACCCACCAGCAGCCCTCGAAAGTGGCGACAGTGTCGCAGATCGCAGCCCCCCAGGGCCGGCGAGGTCTCGCTCAAGTCCCCTGCGGTGCCTCACTCCGCAGGACCCACCAGCAGCCCTCGAAAGTGGCGACAGTGTCGCAGATCGCAGCCCCCCCAGATCGCAGCTCGCTGGCGACCGCAGCGCTCTCGAAACTCCGCTGGACCACCAGCAGCCCTCGAATTGGCGACAATGTCGCAGATCGCAGCCCCCCCCAGGGACGGCGAGGTCTCGCTCAGGTCCCCGCGGTGCCTCACTCCGCTGAACCCACCAGCAGCCCTCGACCCTCGAAAGTGGCGACAATGTCGCAGATCGCAGCCCCCCCACCCCCCCCCCCCCCGGGACGGCGAGGTCTCGCTCAGGTCCCCGCGGTGCCTCACTCCGCTGGGCCCACCAGCAAGCCTCGAAAGTGGCGACAGTATCGCAGGTCGCATTCCCCCCCAGGGCCGGCGAGGTCTCGCTAAGGTCCCCGCGGTGCCTCACTCCGCTGGACCCACCAACAGCCCTCGAAAGTGGCGACAGTGTCGCAGATCGCAGCCCCCCCAGGGACGGCGAGGTCTCGCTCAGGTCCCCGCGGTGCCTTGCCTCACTCCGCTGAACCCACCAGCAGCCCTTGAAAGTGGCGACAGTGTCGCAGATCGCAGCCCCCCCAGGGACGGCGAGGTCTCGCTCAGGTCCCCGCGGTGCCTCACTCCGCAGGACCCACCAGCAGCCCTCGAAAGTGGCGACAGTGTCACAGATCGCAGCCCTTTTGCAAGATGCACACAAAGAGGTACCGCAGCCAGGATGCACACACACACACACACACACGAGGTACACGCAAGGCAAGAGGAGACAAGACGGAAGCGGGAGACTGGAGGCGGGAGGAGGAGGAGGAGGAGGAGGAGAAGGACTGGAGACCGCATTGCTCGATTCAAAACGAATACCCAACCAAGGAGGGTTGGGAAAAAACATCTCAGGATGAAGAGCCAGCCCCCTGGCCCTGGGGAAAGGGTCGGGATTTCTGGGGACCGCGCATGTCTGGGGATCCATCGTCGACAGGGGGGCGGTGGGCTCTCGATAGCGAATCTCCGCACGCTCCTGGGCGGGGTGCTGCCGGGCCCCATGTCCAGAGGAAGGTGCGGAGCTGCGACAGATTGTGACTATGCCTTCTTTTGTGACTCGACGATCAGCGATGAAAGGTCGACTGGGGGGTAGAGGCGTATCCCACCCGGGCCCATCTTAGGCGGCCAGGCATGGGAGCCTCACGTGGTCGCACGGCCGCTGGACTGACGAGATTTAGTGAGCCCCCCACTGAAACCGACTAGATTCTAGATGCCACTAATCCGACTCGCGACCCCACTAAACCCCACTACAAACCCACGCGATCACACACTAAAACCCTTAAAAAAATGCAGTCCCCTTTGAACCAAAAATTGAGAAACTCTTTGTGTCCAGCAGAAGCTCGCATACGGTAGGTTCGTGTGGTGTCAGCACGCGGAAAAGCTTTTGACACCACGTCGATCGCTCAACCTTGAACCAATCGCGACCCCGATCATTCAATGTTGAATTCCGTCGGGTTCTGTGGCATTGCCGTGCCCCTCGGTGCTTCCGCGTCCTTCTGTCATTCGGAGTTCAACCTTGAACGCCTTCGCTGGCGTCGCCGACGCGCCATCGCCGCATGAACTACCGCACTCGGGGGCAGCGAAGAGAGGTGCGTCCAAGGGGGGCGCAAATCATGGCTGGCGGCACGCGCGGCCCAGGGGGGGGGGGGGGCGGGGACGTATTGAGATAAGGAGAGGCGCCATGAGCCTGGTTTTCAAGACCTCGGCAAGTTTACTCGCATGGACAAGGGGGGCCTGACCCTCAAGCAAGCCGCAAACGACTTGCACGTGCGAGCATCAAGCAAGTCGAAAGGCACTTGCACGCTGGCATTCGTTTGACGAGGGGCGAAGGGGGCGAACGTCATGCAAGTAAACTTGCCCGAATCTTAAAAAAACATCTGGGGAGCCATCATGGCCCTGGCCATGCTATCCACACACCCGTAGCCGCAGCCCTCACCCCCCTCTTTGCCGCCCCCGATGTGCTTGGCCACTTAACCCTGGTGTTGCTCCCATCGTACTAAAGGACCATATCCCAGAATCAATTTCGATCACCCAGTAAAAGTATCGGAACAGCGTCGAACGAGCACCGCCTCCCAGAGCCCGACAGGTGGAAACCCTCCACCTTCGGTACTCTCTTGGTGCTCGACATTATTTCTGGTGCTTCAGGCCAAAGGAGGTTGGAACATCAACAACCCAATTCTGCCCCCCCTAATGATGGGCCTGTTTGCCACCACCACCACCTGAAGTTGGAGGGGGGAAAGAGGTGGAGGAGGAGGAGGAGGAGGAGGAGGAGGAGGAGGAGGACCCCCTCCCCCTCCAACTTATGGTGGTGGTGGTGGAAAACGAGCCCAGCACCTAACGCTGCCCAGATCGCCGCCGCCGCCGCCTGGGGCCCGGGGCGAGCCCAGGGGCGCGCCGGCGGCGGCCTCGCCCGCGGCGCCCCGGCGCGGACCGGAGCCGAAGACGCGGTCGCCCTCCGAGAAGCGGGCGCTCACGAAGGGCTTCCTGCAGGGGCGCACGCGCGGGGGGCGCTCACGAGCGGCGCCCACGGGGGAGGGCTCCCCCGGAGGCCGAAGCTTTGCAGATATGGAGCAGGACCGACCGTCCCGGCATTTCTAGAGGCCTACCACGACATCTCCCTAGGACCCGAAAATGTTCTAAGAACAAAAACAATGTTCTGAGAACATAAGCCCGATGTGTTAAAACGAGGCAGCCCCAGCCAGAAACGTAAACACAGAAGATCTCCTGGCGCAGCTCTGTTTGTAACGCGAGGGAGCCTGCGCTGTCGGGGAGCAGCGTGTGACGCAGATTAATTGCCGAGCGCCGGCCGATGTGTTAGAACGAGGCAGCCCCAGCCAGAAACGTAAACACAGAAGAGCTCCTGGCGCAGCTCTGTTTGTGACGCGAGGGGGCCTGCGCTGTCGGGGAGCGGCGTGTGACGCAGATTAATTGCCGAGCGCCGGCCTGCTGCTTCGCATGCACGCCAGGATGTCCGTGGACAGCTCGTCCTTCAGGGCGATCAAAAATAGGGCGCCCACAAAAGACGTAATTTCGCGCCCAACCACGTACACGAACACGGCCCCCCGATCCACGAGGCCAACCTCTTGATACGAACCTTTGCGCCATGCGTGCTCTCGAAACCCGCGTGGATTCATGTACGTGTACGTCCTTCGTTCGCTCCAGATAAAAGGTGAGTGACCAGGGTGTCCCCAACATCTGGGCCATTGGGGAGTCCTCCTCCTCCTCCTCCTCCTCCTCCTCCTCCTCCTCCTCCTCCTCCTCCTCCTCCTCCTCCTCCTCCCTGGCGCCCCTTCTGGGGCTCGTCAGGGCCACGTGGATGCGCCAGGGACTCCCTGGCAGCCACTGAGGACACGGTGGGCCCAGACCACCTGTCCACATCCAGTCCTTATTCTTCTCCAGGAAGCCGTCCACGGTGTACGTGACGGGCCCCGCGAAATGCTGGAGGACAAAGACGCCCTGCTTGTTCCTGATGATGGAGAAGTTTTTGTGGCCCTCGTGCTCCTTGGGAGGAGGATGGGGGAGAGGGGCGGTGAAGAAGAGGGGCAGAGAAGAAGGGAGCGGAGGAGATGAAATGCCCTCCGGCTCCTTGATCAGCTTGCTGCCCCACCGATCGGAGCTGCCCCCGATGCTGAAGCACTCCTCCTCGAGCATGGGCAGCACCCCCCTGACGCGCTCGTGCAGCAACGCGACGATGGACGCGTTGTCGGGGAAGTCCTCCGGCTCCCACGCGATGCCCTCCTCCCTGTACAGCGCGGCCTCGTTCTCGAAGATAAACTCGTTGAAGTACTGCTGCAGCAGCTCGTTCGTATAGTTGATGCACAGCTGCTCGAACGAGTTGGTCTGGAAGAACTCGAAGCCGAAGATGTCCAGCACGCCGCAGAAGGTGGCGTGCTCGCGGAAGCCAATGGTAAGACGAAGCCAGGACGAGGACAAATCCAGGTAAGGATAAGTAGAGAACCTCTGAGATCCGGCGGCTCTGGAGGATATATCGGGCGCCGCAGCCTTCTCACAGGGCGTTCCGGAACGCTCTGAAAGCGTTCCAGAACGCTCTGCAACGGATTGATCCTCGTCCTCGCCCCGTCCGAGATGGACTCGTTCGTCCTCCGCACGACGTGGTCGAAGATCGCGCCGTAGAGGTGCCGAGCCAGCGCGTCGCGGCTGTCCGCAGCCCGCTGCGTGGTGTTGGGGATGCGGAGCAGCCTCTGCTCGCCCGGGGCCTGCATCGTCCTCGAGCACAGCGCCTCCGACAGCGCCCCCTCCTCTGAGGGGCAACGTTCGGGGGGGGGACCTGATAGGTCGATCTTTCACCACAACTATCAAAGGCAGGAGAGGAATGAGGACGAGGAGGAGGAGGAGGAGGAAGAGGATAAGGAGAAGGTGAAGGAGAAGGGCCTCCCCATCCCCCGCCCTAATGCAACAATTGACAATCTCGAAACCTGTAGTTGGATAGCTCTTGTTTTCAGGCGCTCTGGGTGAGCTTTCGGCGACCACGTGGCCGCTTCAGACAGGCCTGCATCAAAATGGCCAGAGCCATTTTCACCCGTGGGGAACGTCGAGCTGGAATGGGCACCTACATCGCCAATACATCGGCGCCAGGCCCCCGACAGCGAATCCGCGCCATCCTGGGAAGTGGTGGACTGTCGGACCCCCATGTCGCGGGCGCGCAAGCATGGACTAGCGATCCATGGATTTGGCGCGCGGTCGCCAAATCCATGGATCGGGGGAAGTGCCCTCCCCGAAGTGCGGCCGGTGCCGCCTCGTGCGGCGGCGGAAATCCGCGATTTCTCCCGGAAACGGGACCCGTCGCTAATCCAGGCCCCCTTGATCCGTGTGTTGCGATCGCGTGACCCTGGGGATCAGTGGGCGATGGGGGGTCGACGCCTCCCCCCCATGAGCCTTTCTGCCACCAGAGCGCTGCCCCTGGTCCTCCACCCCGAGCAGCGAGCACACCACCTGCAGCGGGGCCCTGCCGCAGGGCAGGCCCTCCGCCGTCACGCCCTCCGGCAGCGAGACCTGGGAGGCCTCGCTGTGGGGCTCCGTGAAGTGCAGGTTCCCCAGGTGCAGCACCTCGGCCACGCGCAGAGGGAGTAGCTTGCAGGGGGTAGCTGGCAGGGGGTAGCTTGCACCCTCTTTGCTCCGCAGCCCTTTGGATCAGGTCTTAGGCCTGGCAGGGGCGACGGTTCCACCTGAACCAGGCATAGCGCTCGAGAAAACATCCATCTCAGAGGGGAGGGGGGAAGGCTTCTCAGAAGCACCCTGGCTCCTTAGAAGGCGCGGGCCCTGTCTGTAGATGTAAGGCCCGCGCCTTCAAAGAAGCAGCCTCCCTCCAAGGAGCCTTCCCCCCTCCCCCTGCCCCCGTGCGCGCGCCGCCGAGCACCGCCGCGACCATGCCCAGGACGTCCGGCACCTCCGAGGCGAGGCCTACGGCCCTCATCGCCGACAGCGTCGCCTCGAACTCCTCGGCCTCGTCGCAGTGCTGCAGCGCGGTGCCCGCGGAGTTCGCGAGGTAGCCGAAGGACGCCGCGGGGAACCCCAGGAAGCCCTCCAGCGCAGCGGCGTCCCCCTCGGCGTCGGCCAGCGGCAGGCCCAGGCCGCCCTTGCGAAGGGGCCCAGGGACACGCAAAGAAATACACAGAGATCCCAGGATTCCCCTATATTTTCCCCGTATTTTCTGGATGTTCGCTTCCCCCCATATCTTCCCGTATCTTCCCGTATCTTAGACCTGGGGATCGGCGATGAACTCTGTCTGTGCTTTTGCTGTTCCCCCCTCCTGACCTTGCTCATCTCCAGCGTCTGGCTCGGAGCCGCGGGGCTGAGAGGCAGGCCCGCCGTCATCAGCCGGGTCGGCGAGCTGGCGGCCGCCAGGGCCTGGTAGAAGATGTGGAAGGTCCGCTCGCCCTCCTGCTGGTGGAGCACGCGCACCTTCTCGAGGAGGTACGTCCTGATGCGGGCTCCGACCAGCCGGGCGCTCTCCGACCACCCGGGCTGATCCACGCCGAACTGCAGCTCGATGTACTTGCCGAAGCGGGACGAGTTGTCGTTCCTCAGGGTCTTCGCGTTCCCGAAGGCCTCCAGGAGAGGGTTGGAGCCCAGGACCTGCCGCTCGACCTTGGACATGCCGCCGGCGTTCCCGCCCCTCGACCCCGCGTCGCCCTCCGCCCCAGCCAGGGCGAGGAACTGCATCACGAACTTGGTGGTCTCCGTCTTGCCCGCGCCGCTCTCGCCGCTGATCAACACGGTCTGCGACTCGCCGCGCTCGCAGATGCCCCGGAGCGCCCTCGCGGCCACGCCGAAGACGTGGGGCGGCGCCCGCTTCGCCCCCTGCGAGGCGGCGGCACCGCCCCCGGCGGGGAAGAAGCTCCGCAGCGTCTCGGGGCTGTAGAGGCCGGGCAGGCTCCGGAACGGGTTCACCGCCAGGAGCACCGGCCCCGTGCTGGTGTAGATGTCGAGTAGAGGATCGACTGCAGAATTGATTCATACCCCCAGACTGATTTTCCCCATCGAAGCTACGACGAATACGTAGCATGCTCGTGCATCTACTGAAGACTCAGAGTATTTTTCCGTAGATCCGACGAGACAATTAATTCAGGGGTGAACCAATTCTGTAGTCGATCCCCTACTCGAAGATGACCCCCTTGCAGAAGCGGACGTTCAGCGCGTGCAGCACCGCGGCCTCGTGCAGCTCTGGCACGTCCGTAAGGTCGTCGAAGCGCAGGGCACCGTCGCCGACGAGCGCCGCGTTCCGTCGCAGGACGCGGAGCGCTGGCTTCCGGGGGCTGGCCAGGGCGCCCTGCGCGGGCTGCGGCGCGCCCACGTCGATGACCTCCTCCTCGCCCTCGTCGCCCCCGGGGACCGGCAGCGCGACCCGCAGGCCTGGCCCTGGCGGGGCCACGCACCGATAGACTTAGGTCGGGTACGACCCCCTACAGGCGGACTTTGGACGAAACATGAAAGGCATTCCAAACATACATCCAAAATTGTCAAAATAGTCAAAGAATCGTCCCCAGACTACTTTTTTTGACTATCTTTGAAGATTGACAGGCCCGACATAACGATAGACCCCTGCTACCCGGACCTCTCCGTGGAGACGAGCTCTGACCATCCAGGACGCCGAGGCGGACCCGGCCGGGGCGACGAAGGGCCCCCCGGGAGGCCCCGGAGAGGCGGAGACACAACGAGGGCACCGGCACCCAGACTTCCGACCGCGGGGCACAAATACAACTGCAACCCGCGGCCGCCGAGCTCCTGGCCGACCCCCCTCCCCCCCGGAGAGGCTTGCGCGCCGCGACTGCATCTTTTCCTTAAACGAAAGCCTTCGGAGACCTGCGGGAAACTCGGCAAGGCCTGGAGGAACCGAAGAATACCGACACCGATGCCCCAGACCTCGCCCCGGGGCGCGTCCTGACCAGGACCTCGAGGCGAATCCAACGGTGGCGACAAGGGCCTCCCTGGAGGCTCCCAAAACAGAAACGAGGCCAGGGCGGCGGTGTCGATACCGTTTCTCCTGAGGATTGCCCCTCCCGAGGTCCGGCGACGACGCGCCCTGGCCGCCACACGGCCTCCGGGCAGGACACCCAGACGAGCGCGTCGGGCTCGAACCCCGCGGCCATCGGCCTCCAAAGCTCGAGCAGGGGATGGGCTACAGAACTCACGTACCCCAAACCCGATTTGCTCGCCGGGTCTGCGAAGGATGCGTGGACTGCTCCGTCGAGCCGTCTACGCGTTGGTGTACAGATCCGACGCTGAATCAATGCTGGGGCAAATCAATTCTGCAGTCGATCCCCTACTCGAAAAGCCCAGGGCGAGGCGCGCCTCTCGACTAGAGGCCGCCTGTATGGGGTTCGAGTAGATGGGGTCGGAAGATCTCACGGCATCGCCGATACATCGGCGGTGCATGGCCGATGCATCGGCGGCCGTGCACTGGCGACGTCGGCGATGCATCCGCGACGTCGGCGTGGAGAATTGGGCCCACGTCGAGCCGCATCGCCGATGCACCGCCGATGCCTCGGCGATGCGGCGCGATCCTCCGACCCCACCTACTCCGACCCCATCTGGGAGGCCTGGATCGACGCCCCTCGGCCTCCGGTGGTGGCGGGGGCGGGGGGGGGCCGCCGCACGGCCTCGGGCCGTGGCGCCAGCGGCCGCGCGCAGCGGCGACCGTCGGCGCGGGCAGGCGCGACGGGCTCGGCGCGTGACGGCGCCGGCGTTCCCTGAGATCCTGGCGAGCGCTTTCGTATTCGGCGTTTCGGCATTGGGCGGAAAGGGGGGGCGAGGGGGAGGGGAGGCCTGGCTCCAGACCTCTGCTGAGTACGACTGTTTGGAAACGTGCGTCCTATGGGGGAGGGACTCCACCTGCTCGAAGCAGGCGCCCAAAACAGCCAAGATCTACTTCACTGGGGGGAAGGGTGGGTGCGAGGGCCCGCGCCGATCGGCAAAACAACGGATAAGAAAACGATCGCCTGGCGACGCAACTGTTTCGAGCCGGACGTTTTCGCCCAGTTTCAGGCCCCCGGGGCCCTCACAGATGGATCCGGCACGGAAGAGGGCGCAGAAAAACCGGGTCCGGGGCTCCAAGCCGTGATATTTCACTATGTCCCAACTTGTTCGAGACGTCGGATCTCAGGGTTGATGTCGCGTCGTCGTCCTCCTCCTCCTCCTCCTCCTCCTACTTCTCCTCCTCCTCCTCATCATCCTCCTCCTCCCCTGGATTCTGGGCACTGTAGTTTCCTCCAGGAAGGCTTGCCTCTAGGAGGTCCTAGCTATGTCCCTAGAGAGCTAGACCACTGCCGCCGCCCCCCTGCTAGTTTGCCCCTTATGTTATGTCGCTCCCATCGTACTGAAGGACCACATCCAAGAAATAATGTTGAGCACCCAGAAAGGTATCGGAATAAAGTCGAAAGGGTATCGCCTCCCAGGGCCCGACACGTGAAACCCTCCAATGTTGGTACTTTCCTTGTGCTCGAAATTCTTCCTGGCGATCAATGCTAAAGTAGCAATGGCTTCCTCTGCTCTAGCAGTGGCTCCCTCTGCCATTGCGCTGGCTCCCTCTGCTAGTGCAAGGGCTCCCAATCGAGTAGAGTGAAAAAAAAGATGAGTCGAGTAGAGCAGAATTGAGTACCCACATCTGTCGGCCCGTATGATTCGGATGAGCGAGAAGGATGCAAGGGCCTTGGACGCCCATTTCGAAACTTTTCGAGCGCAGCGCGGCGAACGAAACTGGCCAAGGATAGACCGAGGAGGCAAGGATGACAGGGTACCCTTGGGAATGTTGCCCATCATTCTTATGCGGGTTGACTGCACTGCCGTCAGTTACCCCTGAGGGGAAGCATTCCGCGCGAGTGGCAAACTCTGCCATGAGGCCTTCCGCGCTCCAGCCCCGCCTTGGAGGCCCCCGAGGAAGCCCCCCGAGAAGCTGGAGGTCCACCATAGCCAAAGGAACGAGGTCGAGTTTGAGCCCCCGCGCTGAATTACACTGTTCGGTGGCAACTCATGGGAGCCTCCCATACCATTATGTCGCCTCTTGCGAATCGACGCTTATCGAGGCTAAACCAACGCTGATCGACGTCAAGTCGGCGTCAATTGACGCTAGCCGAAGTTCAATCGGCGCTGGAATTGCAAGGGTACACAAGGCCCGCATGACTTGCTACCGAATCACTGGGTCTTTGACTCAACCGCCTTCGCGCTGTGCTGATTGATGGGCATGTTTTCCTCCTAAGTTGGAGGGGGAGGGTGTCCTCCTCCTCCTCCTCCTCCTCCTCCTCCTCCTCCTCCTCCTTCCCCCCTCCAACTTATGGTGGTGGTGGAAAACACGCCCATCACTGCTGCGCTGACGCAAGGGTGGGGTTTGCGGCAGGCGGCTGGATAAACAGCTCCTCCTGGCCTGCCCACCAGGCGTGCCAACAGGGCGGCTGCCGTGCGTGTTGCCTCGGACCTTCTCCCCGTTCAGGACTCTGGAGCACGATATCCCCCACTGCTGCACGGATGGGGGGGGGTCGTTTCCGAAATCTGGCCCTCGCCTTAGCGCCGCGCACATTCGTCTTGACATCGCTCGGCGTTTGCAGGGATGGAGGGAAGGTAATGTTCAAAATGTGGCTCACGTCGCAGCGACACGCACACTCGTCCAAACAAACAAATACACGGGTGGCGAGGGGGTCGTTTTCAAAATGTTGGTCTCGGTGTTTTAGCGCCGCGCACATTCGTCTCACATGCTTCCAACAGCTACACAATTGGACGGCGTGGTTTTCAAAATGTGGCTCTCGCCATAACGCCGCGGACATTCGTCGAAAGAATTTCCAACAAATACACGGCACATCCGACATACAATCATGCAACACTTGCACGGGTGGAAGCTTAGGTCATGTTCGAAATCTCGGATTTGAGCCGCGCACATTCGCACCAAATTGTGTAAAAGCTACACAAATGGATGGCGGGAACCTTCAGAATAAAACGTTCAACGATGGCAAGCTGTTCCTGAAGATCGGGAAATACGGAAACGGCGACCTTCTACGGCCACACTATCAATCGCTTGATACTTCCTTGAGCTATGTCGCCTGCTACTTCCTTAGGTTAGATGGCCACACGTCTCGACTTGAAAATAAAAATGCACGGGTTGAGGGCAGCTCTTTGTCAAAGCGGGGATCTCGCTGGACACGTCCTTTGATTTTATGTTCCTACATCGCCGCCGCCAACGGATGGTAGCGTCTTGTCAAAACGTCTTGCGTCGGTGACTAGGCAGGGGGGTCGTCTGCGCTGGCGGAAGAAACTACTATGGGGGCACAATTGTAGCGAATTGTCCAGGCCCTCCTTGTCATAACAGGGCCCTCGCCTGAATTACAAAGCCACGGGGCGCTCGTCTCCCAAGGGTACACTTGCCGCAGTGAAACAACGCACTCTTGTAGGGGCTTTGTGGGGAGCGTACTGGGCTCGGGTGGGCGTACTGCATAGTTTACGCACCGTGGGTTCCCTCTGCCCCACCCACCCACCCTTACTCCAGCCCCCCGGGAGAGAGGAGGCAGAGAAGGATGAATAATGAGGCGGGAGATGGGGATACGACAAGGCAGCGCCTGGAGAAAGTTTGGAAGGTGAACGCACCAAACACTAGAGGAGCAGGAAGGAGGAGCAGGGAGACACAGGAGGGATGAGGGGGAAGAGGAGGGAGGAGCACACTGGCCCGAAAGGATGGGTCTGACAATAGTGCTGGTCAGTACATGGTGGAAATAGGTCCCGAACAGAGCAACATGCATAACGCCGACGATGCCGACGACAACAGAGGCGAGGCATGCTCACGAGGATGAGGATGAGAAGGAGGAGTAGGGCTGAGGAGGGAACCATGAGGAGGGAAGCTGCGGATGAAGGAGGGAGACAGAGAAGTAGGAGGAGGTAGGAGGGGGTGGAAGAGGGAGCAGAGAGAAGGAGGGGGAGGAGGAGGGAGGAGGAGGGAAGAGGAGGGAGGAGGAGGGAGGAGAAGACGGAGAGGGCGAGGGAGGAGGAGGAGGGCGGAGGAGGAGGAGGAGGACGACGAAGAGAGAGGAGGGAGGAGGGAGGGAGAGGAGGGAGGGAGGGAGGGAGGAAAATAATCTCGCCGCGGTCTGGCGCAGCGCTTGCGCGCTTGTGCGCGGGAGCGCCTGCAGCGCGAGCTCCTCACCGCGTGGGGGAGGAGTCGAGGAAGGCCAGTGCAGGATGACGATGAAGGAAAAGAGCACGGGGGAGCAGTCACACGAATAGTGCTCTGCGGCTGGCAGGTATTTGGGAGAGGGCGGTCAGAGAATCGCAAAATGATGGCAACGAGTTGGCCTGGAGCCCAATGCATCAATCATCGCCCATGGCGCTTCTGTTAGGTCGGGCATGTCCTCCCACAGGCGGATTTTGGACGAAAAATATCCGAAAACAGAAAGTAGCCAAAATATATTCAAAAACGCTCAAAAATAGTCAAAACATCGTCCCCTGAACATTCTTGACTAATTTTGAATATTCCTCCTGCAGTAGAGGGACATGCCCGACTTGACGCTTCTGTGTGACGCCCTCACCCCCCCCCTCCCTGGCAGTTCTCAGTCGTCATCCTGCATCGTCGGAGATCGCGGCTCGATGGCGCCGAGGACCGAAGCCACCGGGGCTCGACGGTATCGAGGATTGCGAGGGCCCCGAGAGTGTCGAGAGTGTCGAGGGTGTCGAGGGCGTCGAGGGCGTCGAGTGCATCGAGGGGTTCGAGGTTCGCCGGTATCGAGGAACGCCTTTCGAGGTTCGACAATGCGCATCGCCGCTGTCGTCAATCGTCAGTGGTCGGACGTGGCTGCGAGGGCGGAGGGCGGAGGAACTCTCAGATCCAAGCGTCACCAAACACATGTTTTACTTTATCATTCCCGACACATGGAGGCAATGTCCGGCCTCAGAACTGTCGAAAACGACTCCGTATGCAAATCCCGCCCAAGGGGAAAAATGATTGATCTAGAACCCCGACGGCATACTTGACGGAAAAATGCGACGTCGGAAGGTGGATAGGGGTGGAGGGAACGAAACGGAACACGCAGAAAGCAACAACAATCAAAGTTTTGACAGAAGGAGCCCTGGGGAAGGAGCGAAGCGCCTTTTACCTTTCGGCCTCAGTTGTGCGCGGA